CCTCTTACATTATATATATTCATAATTCAACAGGTGAGACGGACAATTCACTACTGTTTCTTCCTGTTAGCAAAATGATACCATAACTGGAACAAAAAACTAATTACCTTTGTTTGTTCACACTATTGAGAAAGTCACTACCTTTGAAACAAAGTATTTCCGAAAACTGAGAAAGATCTGTGAGCGGACAAGAGTGTTGCACTTGACGCAAACAATGCGTTCACGGTGGTCCTGGTTGTGAGTTTTCTCACAAACAGCTCAGCAAATGTGGACAATATTTTATGCCCAAATAAAATTGCGCGGGGGAATTTGAATCACACAGTCTTTAGTCCAATGTAATAACAGAATCAACGTGATAGATTTACAAAGGCATCAGGATAAGACATGCGTGAAAACCGCAAGCACAAACAAACATCCAGCTAATCAACCATGGATATGAAAGTGCTGTCAAGTCGTTCATGAAGATTTAGAATGATCTACTCAATAACACGTATTTGAAAACCCTGATAACAATGATTTGCACAGTCGAGTTAATGGAGCCGTCTTGTAAGTCCGTAAATGTTAGAATTGATGAAAACAGAATTTATGACATGACAAACAAAACTAATAGTGAAAACACTTCTTACGGAGAAAGTGTACCTGCTTTCTACAAACAAACCAAGCATGGTGCCACAAATTCAATGCTTGATATCACAACTCACAGCGAATGTCAAACATACCATAAAAATGTCGATAAATCTGACAACGTTAATCTCTGGTGCCTTAAGGGAGCGGACTCTGAGGCAATCAGTCTTCCGAAAAGTGGTGGATCAATCTACGATAAGAATAGATCACTTATGACTTCAAAACCGGTGACGAAACCGATGCGTTTTTTTGTTAATCTTCTGTCATTCCATAGATGTAAAATGGTTTCCCTTTGTTTCGTACAACTAACAGCCAACAAATTTTGTCAAGTCGTTTGATAAACGTGACTTCTTGGGCTAATCTAATTCAGCTGATATTTCGTCCAAATGTACAAAGGTTTACGTCCAATCCTCTAAACAGATCGTCACAATATGTAAAATGTACGCAACGGAGGCACTCATATAGTGAATTTTATGATGCACACCTAGGAAAAGAAAGGGTGTAACTAGGAATAATTCACACCGCAACTGACGCTGCGCCTCGTAAAGTACTAATATATAAATACACACATGATACAGGGTTTTTCACCTCTCGTTATTGTAAAATCATACCACACAGACTGTTTACCTTTCTTTTTCTAATATACTAAACACAGCCATCAAATAAATAAAAATTCACCACATATGTTATCTGTCTAATGTTTTCGATTGGAATATGCCGGTGAGTGCTGTGAGCCAGAAGTACCATGGCGAAAATCTATAACCGACTTGAGAGGATACCAG